CAGGTTCCCTTAGTTCATACAAAGTAATCTTTAACCCAAGTGATAATTTATCTTTCCGTTTTATTTTGATGAACTTTCATCAAATATAAAGATGAGTTGGATGAAAAAAAAAATTCCCTTCTTCTATATATCAAACTTGATTTGTTGAAAGTTAAATCTCAGAAAGCCATATGTTTCGAATCTAAATCGAGCTGACATGGAAGTGGATAAATAATTTAGACAAAGAAAAATGCTCATCACTCAATCCAAATCCAAATCGAGCTGACATGGTCGAATTTGCTGGATGTAACTATCAATCTACTAGCAAAGTTTGACAGTAGTGTACCTGTAAATTGGAACCTTGCATTGGTGACAGCGAGAATGTTGGATTTAACTAGCAAATGTCAACAAAACCCAAGTTTGAATATGGATAATTCTCTTCAACTGGGCCCCAGCCAAGTAATAAGATTGATTAGACCTCATGAAAGTTAAGCCCTTGACCTCAAAACCCTTTGAATTTTCCTTGTGACGTTGATACACGAATAAAATTTGAATTTTCTAGCAGCAGCCGGGCCCCATGACCTAACGGCCCTGTTCTGTTCTCTTATCTCTAGCCACCCTTGTCGCATATACTTGATATGCTTAAAATTACTCTATATAAACCCCATAAATAAACAATGTTTTTCTGCACAAGACCAAAAGAAAAAAAATAATAGCTCACTGAGAAAATAGCAGCTATGGCAAAGTTACTGTGCGGAGTTGCATTGCTGCCACTACTTATATGCATATTGGTGGCTGCTCCTTGTGTCATAAATGCAACCATAAATTGTGGTGAGGTTACAATTTTGCTCACTCCATGCATACCCTTTGGAATTTTTGGAGGCACAGTGCCACCAGATTGCTGCAAAGGGATCAAAGGGCTCAATGCTGCACAGAACGCCAGTGTGGCGGATCGAAGAACTGCATGCAGTTGCATTCAAGAAGGGGCTGCTAGGATCCCTGGGATTAATTATGACCGAATTAACACTCTTGGTGATCTTTGTGGCTCTCCCTGTCCTTACAAAGTTTACCCTTCTACTAATTGCTCTGAGTAAGCCTTCTACAATAAGTTTCATTGCTTATATTATGTATTGAAAATTAGATTAATTACGTGCTAATTAAATGCATGGATGTTTTTAATTTGTTTTCAGGGTAAGCTGAATCCGTTGAAGCCTTGAGCTTGAAGGCACTGTATTTTAGTGTTTAAGTAGGAGAGTAAGAATAAAAGCTTCTGGGAAAGCTGTCAAGAATAAAAGCTGTCAGCTGTTGTTTAAGCACACAATGTTTTTGTGGTACTTGTGGGGGTCATATATAGTTTGTATTGTATGGATCACGGGTAATCCAAATTATGATCTACTTAGCGATTAATAAAACGCTCCCCTTTTATATATACCACACTGATATTGAAGTCCGCATAATTACGAATTATGTTCAGATCACGAATTGCGATTAAAGAATGAGTTTCTAACCAATTAGTTCTTGATCTTTTGAAAGAGATTCAAGTTTGAATTCTCTTGCCTAATTGATTAAAGAAAAATGCATTTCTATACGTGTACATTAGTTTGAGTTAGGATTTCCCATGAATATCCATAATAAGGTGAAGAGGTGGTTAATAACAGTATTAGGTATAAGTTAATGGTAGATATTTTGATTTATCGGAATTCAGTGCGGTTAACGAATTAGGCTCTCTCCCGTATCTTTTTTTTTTTTGTCTGAATAATACTTCATTAAACAAATCACAGGGAGGCCAAAGATACCTCCCAGGAGATAGAAACTGGAAATACAACAAGTAAACATATCCAATAACCAAAACTAATTACTAGGGGGGCACGGCAAACCGTCCTTAGCCAATACCCGAACCATAGAGGGAGGAGGCTGTGAGGCCCAACGCAAAGTTCGCACCCTCATATTTGACAGAGCTGCAGCAGCATGCGCAGCTTGATTTGCTTGGCGAGATACCCATTCCCATTTGACCGAGGTGAACCATGAAGAGAGTCTCCTGATCTCCAAGATAATAGGGATGATTCTCCAATTGCCGCGCAGATTTTCGTTCCTCATACAAGAGACAACATCCATTGAATCACTTTCAAGAATGATTTCCTGACAATTTCTCTCTCCCGTATCTAGAACAAACTAAAATGGGACAATTTCTCTCTCCCATATCTAGAACAAACTAAAATGGATCAAATTGCCCAACGTACAAACATAACCAAACTACTATTAAAGATGGCCCAACTGATATTGGGTATCAGTTATAGATTCCACTGATTCGGATCCGGCCTTTCCCAACTGACATGGGAAAATAAAGTGCTTGCTAAACAACAGACTTCCCACATGAGTGGTTTATGCTTTAGAAATCGTAAGTCTGTATGTGTAAGGAACTGACTGTAGCACAATTCACAGATGAAAGGAAATTTTGAGAAATCATCAGATAATCACCTGATTAAAGGCGTGATTAATGCACTTCCTTTTCCTATATTCATACATACACCTCACGTGGTCAAAAGCAAAAGACAAAACTAGTCTCATGCGTTTAGGCCTAACATTATACCACATTGCCCAATCCGAAGAGGCTCTTGGAAAATAAAAACTAGATTCAACCTAAAGAGTTAATTGAGAACTGAAAAAGGACAAAAAGGGCATTTGTATTTCATGAGATAGAACAATCACAGTAGTGCACAAAGTTTACAAGGTATTAAACAAAACAAGATACAAAGGAAAGAGAATGCTGCTGTCCTGATAGTATTCCCCATATGCCCATGGGAATCACATTCCATTCCCAGATTTTCTAGCACCCACCCATAAAACCAAAAATTCAAATATTGAACAGACTGATGAAAAGGGTGCTTCCCCTTTTTGGGGAACACAGCCCTAAGAATAAACAATTAAGAATGAATCCTCGACACAAATTTAATAAATAATAAAATAAATATAGGGTAGCCTCTCTAAATGATCGGATGTCAATCTATGAACAATCTACCAGATACCGTGCCATGGACAGGTCAGAAGGTCAGCAGCCAGCTTGTTGTGTCAAAAAGTGGTACTACTTTCACTTGCAGAAAGCGAGGGGCCTTCCGACTTCACGAGAGGTGCTCCTTTGGTACCGATGTCAAGCCCCTGTAACTGACCAACAGGTCCGTTCTGCATAATATCTGAAAAAGTATGAGAATTTGATTGTTGCAGATGATGGGTTGGCATATTAGACTGGGAATGATTGAATTGTGGCATCTGCATGTTCTGGTGACCAGCAGGTCCGGGTTGTTGTTGAAGTGGAAAATAAGCTGATGGATGGTTGTATGGCATCTGGTGCATTCCCAAATTGAATGAGTCAGAAGGACTCATCATCTCCCCTGTGGCAATCTTGAGCCTCTCGACCTCCTTCTTCAGTGCTTCATTTAGTGCTGCATGACAAATTTCAAACAAAATCAGTATCTATTGGATAAAATGGAACATGGACCATTCTCTTTAGATGTAATTAAGATACAATATATTATGCAAGTATCAAGTATGATACAAGTTGGCATTTTGTTGCTTACCATCACGCAACTGAGCTTGTTGCTCCATAGCTTGTAACCGAAGCTTAAGCTCTGTGTTTTCAGTACTCAGACCTGTTGTATCCCTCTATACAAGACAGCAAATTAAAAAAAAAGTCATAATCCTTCAACAAATTAACAGACATTTGTGTGTATATATGCGTGCACTTCACACATGTGCAGAAAAACACTCTTAACAACCCGACGAAGGCTAAATAATAACAAAACACTGCAGCAGAGGGTGACTTAATGAAGTGACATTAGAATACTTGCTCCAGGCGATTGACAATGTTGTTACATATGGGATACTGGTAAGATTGGATGACCATAAATGGCCCAAGTGAGATCTATCATGTTCTAATTTAGTGCAGTGATGTCAAAACAGGTTGTGCATATGTTAAGTACAGTTAAAGAAAGCTGCTAAAATACACCAACACAAACCTGGAATAATGTGAGTTGGGCAGAGAGAGTGGTGGCTTCTGTTTGAAGGGTCTGAACTTTGCGTTCAAGTTCTTGTATATAGCGAGCCTTCCTTTCTTTTGAGCGAGCAGCAGACTGCCTATTCGCCAGTATCCTATATGTGACAATTAAAAAGTGAGACGGAGCTCCCGAAAATCACTAAAGAGGAAAGAACTAAAAGAACTTCATAGGCATACAAATCTTGCCATCATACATGCAAAACATATAACATGATTGAAGAGGACAACTAAGATGCACAAGAACGAATCTCAAAGTAGGAAAATGGTGGAATTTCAGTTCAACAGATCCATATATTTCCAAATTGATCCAATTATTATTCTCCAAAAGTCCAAACACAACCTTAATGCAGTTGGATTCTACTCAACACTCGATCTCAATTCATCTCTACCCAAAGCAATTAGTTGAAAACCCAGAAACAACCAACCTCTACAAGTGAATACTAGCGAAGGTAACGCCTTTTATCAGAAAAATAGCGGGTTTGTGTTGTGGTAGCATCAATCACTCTGTTTTAGTGTTTATTAATAACAGCATAAATGCTTTCTAAATTCAATTTCATGCCAAATTCAGCATTATACGTTTGTGAGTTCCTTAGACCCAAAATCCAAATAAGATTCATTTTCACGTCCCGCATTTTCTCGGCAACCAGACACAGGAAAATGAAGCAACCCAGGAAAAAAGATAAAATTTTGCACACCTTTTGGCGCGTTTGGGATCAAGGTTCCAGAGCTCAGCGAGCTTATCAGGAGGCATGGCCTTCTTGGCCTCCATGACCTCCCCAAACACACCGGTTGACGTGGACGACCCATCCACCGAGCAGCTATGCCTGTGCCGGGACGATCTCTTCTCTTCTCCCTCACCACCACCATCATTTACATTGGGCCCACCAGACCCATCATCAGGCCCACCACTGGGCCCATTATTACCACCACCGCTCTGATCCGAGCAATTGCACCCACCGAGTTTGTCGAGGTCAATGTATGTGGAGAAGAGGTCCTCCTCCGATCCCATCTCCTCGAGACTCGCCGTAGACGATCCGCCCTTGGACTGATCCGGCGCGGACAGATCCATCATGTCCTCCGGCAACCGGAAGCTCACCTCCGAGTGGGCCCTCCTGTGGCTATTGTGATGGTGGGGTCCACCTTCCGCCGCTGCTGCTGCTGCTGCTGCTGCGGCAGCTTCTTCTCGGATGAAAGGTCGAGGGGCGTTGGAATTGCCCAGCATTGTCAAACTCAAAGATGTGAGCGAGGAAGAAGACGATGACGTGGCAACTACTCCAGAAGCATTGGCATTGTTGGAAATGCCAATGCTTCTGGGGAGAGGGATTGGATTGGATTTGGGGTTGGGATTGTTGGAGCTGGCGTTGTTGATGGAGATGAATTTAGGGTTAGGGTTGGATTGATGTTGTGGATCTTGCATTGGTCTGGTTTCTGTGGACATTGTGGGTTTGTGTGTCCCTCCCTCCCATGTGTTTCGCTCCCTTTCTGTCACGAGGAATTATTCACTCTCTTTCTCTCTGTTTCTTTTGTTTTCTTCCAATTTTACCTCGCTTGCAAGAAACATATAGTAAGATTACAAATATGTCTTCTCAATCTCAATCATTTTGTTTTACTTTAATTGAACATCATAGAAATCTTGCATATCATCATAATCTTATTTCCAATTTTAGATGGCATAACATTTGCCCGAGAGACAAATGAAAAACAAAACTCACCTTATTCTTCTTCTCCTAATCACCACTCAATCTAACGTCAAAACAATATTACTTCATTCCTTACATGCCTCTTTTCTTTTCTCTTATAATAATAAATTACCTACTTAACTCAATGGTCGGATTATTTATTTTCATTTATCACTATAATTTCATGCGCTTAAATACCACACATAATCTTAAATCCTCCCACCCCTTCGCATTAGTCAAAAATTGCATAGTTTCTTTACCTCTTGACTTTTGAGAAAAGGTGAAAATGTCCAACCATGGTGAGGTGACGAGTAGGTGAGTAATTGAAACCTACTTTAAATAGATTGACAAAGTTGTTTGAGGAGGACACTTGCAAGTGCTAGTAAAGATTACATCTATTATTACATATGTGGGTTGGCAATAGTGAATTCACTCTGCCCCCACACTTACATTATCAAACGTAGATACCATATGCATTTCGAAATAACTTTTAGCATCCCACTCACATATAAGAAGTTATTCTTAGAAGCGCCAAGTTTGGGACAATTGCGAACACACATGTGGAGGACTGCTTAATGAATTTGAATTTCACAATCTATACGATCAACAGTAACCCGCACGCTCATGTATAACTGATTTTAAGGCCATCTCCAATCATGAATTATGGGCCAATATATTGCCTTAAAATAATACAAAACTCATCATGGGTTAAAAAAAATAGGCCACATTTGGCTCTTTAGCCCTCCAATCAAGTTATTTGTAGTCCAATTTTGGCCTAGCCAAATTTTGTTGTGGGCTCAACGCATGTGCTTTTTAATAAGAGAAAGCATCACTCGTAAGTAAGAGCACGAAACATCTCGTACAACTGCATATCCAAGCTAGCCGTTAGGTTTATTTATTAATTTTATATAGTAACTTTTTTAAATGTTTTCAAATACGTTTTGTTTAATATATATATATATATATATATCATACACGTGTTATATATGGAATATTGTCTTTAAATAGTAGTTTAATTAAATTAAATAATACATAATTGTGCAATATATGAATGTTATACCATAGTTTTTCTCAAAATAATAAAATATGAAGGGCTTTAAAATATATCACTTCATAGCTAGAGATGAAAACCCTACATTATTCTTTAAAAAATTAATATTTTGGAGAGCTAAATATGTAGCATTGGACTACATTACTACATTTAACCCTATTACTAAAGATCGCATAACTTTTTTAATTCTTAGAATCCAAGTAACAATTTCCTCAACGCGTTTAGAAACTAGACTCTCATCAACTTGGGTGACAAGGGAACCATGAACGAGAAGCCCATCAAATCAAATCAGACCGATCAAGAAGCCTTAATTTGAGGAAGGTGTTAATCCAAGCCTCTGCTACTGATCGTATATCATATGACCTAAAATTACAGTGGGGTCCAGTAATGGCGGGACCCACTTACCCAATAAACTTGTCCTTGTTCTAGGCAAGTCAGTAACCCATGGTTAGCGGAGCTGACTAGACAAGGACATGATTGGAATCTGGAAAAGCAAGCCAATGAGGCCATGGACATGGAGGGAGGGAGATGGGAGCTTTGACTGGACAACTGTCCATGGACATGGACCATGTGTATGGGTGGGCCACAGAGGGGTGACAGGCTCAAATTCCTGCTTAATGGCTCCCTTGGCAAACAGGGTGGAGTGATATTCAGTGGAACATAATTTCTTTTTCTTTTTATCATTTGGAGAGAAATTTATAGTTTTTATTTATATTTATATTTCAAAGTTGGTTTGGAGAGCTTATCTTAAGTTATATACTACCTACCTAGAAATCCAATGAACATTTCTGTACACACTTTTAATACAATAAATATCACTTTATGTTTGTGATATTTACACCAAACTGTGATACCGCATTGATAAATTATAGACCACATTGTGTAATAGAGTTGGTATGCAAATGTGGTATGTCTAACATTACTCTATTTACACATTTGTAATACGAAGAAAACAATTATTTTGGCCTCCTTTCTAACATGACACTATTCATGAGATATAACAAATTTGTTCAGAACATGCATAATCAATTAGATATTATTAATACTATCTTGTTGCTTGATGATGATCGATGTTTAAAATGGAACCCTCTTGTGTTTATCGATCATGCCATCATCCATGATTCGAAAAAAGAAAGAAGAAAGACACCGAGTCTTTTAAAATACATACAAGTTGTTGAGAAACTATAAGAAGGTTCCCAAATGAAGGAAGAATGAAGACAACTTTTGTGCTATCGTTTACTTTTTGTTGCTAGATTATAATATTTCCCATCGCTTTCAATCAAGTTTTCTGCCGGCCCTTGTTGAGCATACATATGTATTGACTTCAGCTTGACACTCTGCATCTTCTGTACAAACATGGCTTTCAATTTCATTCTAGTAATTGCAATCACTTTGATCGTAGCTTTCTTCCTTTCAAAATTTGTGTTCAAGGGTCAGACCAAAAATCTGCCAAAAGGGTCCCTCGGATATCCCCTAATAGGAGAGACATTTAGCTTTCTGCGAGCACAGAAACAAGATCGAGGCCCCGAATGGCTGGAAGAGAGAACATCAAAGCATGGACCAGTGTTCAAAACCTCCTTGATGGGTTCCCCAACTGTGGTTGCTGTAGGTCAAGCAGGCAACAAGTTTGTATTGGGCACTGAAGAAGATGTTCTTTCTGCCAAGAAACCAGTCGCCCTAGTAGCCATTGCTGGAAAACAAAATATATTTGAGCTCACTGGGTCAAGGTAATAATCCCCTCTTCAATTTGTACAGAAATGTTCTCCTGTCAAACAGTTTAGCACGATATATTGCAAGATGTTTGAATGTGCGGTCTAGATTGACAGTTTAATAGCCTAACATGCTAGATATCTGGTACGTACCCTCAATTCCGTATGTATGTAGTGCAGGTACAGATTGGTAAAGGGAGCAATGGTGAGCTTCTTAAAGCCTGAAAGTCTTCAGAACTATATCAAACAGATGGATGAATTGACCAAGACCATGTTACTAAGAGAAACAGAAAACAAAGACACCATAAAAGCTGTGGTCACCATGAAGAAACTTACATTCAACATAGCATCCAGCATCCTTTTTGGCATCAAGGATGAGCACACTAGGGAGGTTTTGTTTGATGATTTTTCTTTAGCCTTCAAAGCAGGTTGGTCTGTTCCCATTAACTTCCCTGGCACTGTTTACTGGAGAGGCCTAAGAGCCAGATCAAGGATTGTCAGTAGGATTTTGCCAATACTCAAGGAAAGAAGGGAGGAGATTTTACAGGGGAAACTGAGCCCTACAAGCAATGTGTTCTCTTGCTTGCTAGCATTAAGAGATGAAAATGAACAGCCAATTTCTGATGATCTGATCTTGGACAATTATGTCACATTGATGATAGCTAGTCATGACACTTCTGCCACACTTATGAGCCTTATGATATGGAAGCTGTCTACAGACTCTCAGATCTACAAGAAAGTTTTAGATGGTATAGTACTAATTGATTATAATATATTGCACTACATAAATATATATCCTTTTTGCTAATGCCACTTAAATTTCTCTCCCACTTAATTTCATTGCTTTGTAGAACAAATGGACATTTTAAGGAAGAGGGAGGAGGGAGCAGAAGATAGGCTAACATGGGCTGAGATACAAAAGATGAAATACACATGGAGAGTTGCACAAGAGTTGATGAGGATCATCCCTCCTGTGTTTGGCAGCTTCAGAAAAGCACTTAAAGACATTGAATATGGTGGCTATGACATTCCCAAAGGATGGCAGGTAACAATCAACATTTCTGATCATCATCCCAAGCACAACATAATTTGCTTCTAAATTTTCTGATGACAATTTGGTTTAAGGTAAGTCGTGAATTCAAATCTCATGGACGAGAATGTTAACATTTTGAGTCAGTTTCGCAGGTGTATTGTGTGTCTCATGGAACACACATGAACAAAGAGATATTTGAGAAGCCAACAGAGTTTGATCCATCAAGATTTGAGAACCCATCAAAGCCAATCCCTCCCTATGCTTATATTCCATTTGGAGGAGGCCTGCACACTTGCATAGGCAATGAGTTTGCAAGAGTCGAAGTACTCACCACCATCCACAACTTGGTGACAATGTTTGAGTGGTCTCAGGTGTTCCCTGATGAAATAATCACCAGGCAACCAATGCCTTATCCATCCATGGGCCTTCCAATCAAGATCAGACCAAGAAAGCTTTAATTAGTCAAAGGCTTGTTATGCTAATGCCATATGTGTTGGATGCTTCCTTTTTTTAATTAATGGGGAGGGAGGTTTCGAACTTGAAACCTCTTCCGACATTAAGAATAGAAGTATTTTAAATTAAGTACTAGTTGGTACATGTGTTGGTTGTTAATACCTTTTTTTTTTTTTTTTTTTCCCCGCTTGAGTCATTGTTTTCTGTAATCATCATTAACTATAAGTCAAGCAGTCTATATATCTCATGAACTTATATTAAAGCTTTTGCTTTTTTTTTTTTCTTTTTTTTTTTTTTTGGATGGGTTTGTAGCTCAAATAGTTAAGAGTAGTTATTTTTGCACCCGATGTCTTGTGTCTAGTGGCGGATCCATGATTCTCGGGCCAAGGGGTCACAGTGTAAAAGTTTCGAAATTTTTTTGAAAGAAATAACACTAAAAAACAGAAAAATAGTACTTTCATCCAAACTTCAATCGACGAGTTTTCTTTTGAAAACATTGCATTATAGCTTCATAAATAATTTATTTTTCAATAATTTTAGACATTTTTGTTAATGTTTGATCTAAAAGAGAATATCTTTTTTTATATATAGAATAAAATTATAACGTATAGAGACGACAATTATCTTTATAAAAAATTCAAATGAAACAAGCCCAACCCCCACTTTGAAAAAGAAAAGAAAAAAAACAAAAACAATACCTCCCCATCTTCTTCTTCACAGTTTCATTCTCTGCAACATCCACCCCAATCCTCTCTCCCAAGGCCTTCTCAACTTTTTTTATTTATTTTTTTTAAAACTATATATAAAATAACATGTTTGCTGTTGTTGGCGTGCCTACATTCCTTTTCCCATTCCCTGCCACTTAAACTTTTGCAACTGCTCGCCTGAGATCGCCACAGCCAAATGCCAGCATCCCAAGGGCTCAATTGACCCCTCTTGTCCGTCCCTCGGTGTGTCCGCCCTTACCTGTGTTTGAATCACCCTCCCCCTAACTTTGAGTGTATCAAAAAAACAAAGTTTTTTAAATTTTTTTTTAATTGAAGACCATATATTTTCTTTTGTATTGGGTTAAGAACTTAGAATCAAGCATTTACAAACCTTTCCTAATAAATACCAAAATTGCTAAGCAATTTTATATAAAGAAAAAGACATCTGTTATTTAAAAAAAATAAATAGTAAAATAAAAGAATTATTGTACTACCACATATTGGAGGGTCTTCTTGTATTTGGCTGCTAACAGTTTGTTAATAGAACCCATGTATGCCTAGGACCACAAACAAAATGCATTTTTAAATTTACATGTCACTATTGGTCCATAATTATTGGTGTGTACTACAACCTAATTATTGTCCTTTAATAATTTTTAACAAAGTTTTCTTTCAATTGTGTGGCTGATCTGAGCACTACTAGTGATTAAGTACGAGTATTATAACATCATATGATATGATAATTAATGTATTAATTAACAGTTAATCACAGTATAATAGATATAAAATGTAAGTACATATCAGCTGCCACATTACGTAATTAATCAATCAACAATTGTGCGATCACAAAATTTGTTCGATTTAGCATTTATCATTGTCTTCTTGGTGACTACCTAATGAAGCCATTAGGCAATCTATCTTTTTAAAAATAAATTAAAAATAAAATTTTAATGTGTTTAAGCACTGAAGGGCTTGTGATACATCTAAGGATCATGGAATGAGCTCAGCATTTTGTAGTGTTTTGTTACCATTGTTGTAGATTATTATTCCCATCACCTTCAAATTCGTCATCCTCATCTCCCAAGTTTTGATTTCTTAACATTTTTAAGTTTGTGCCTGCCATGGTTGAGCATATGTATATATATTCATTCAGTTGGCTTTGCTTGTCACTCTGTATAAACCTTGTACAAAAATGACCTTGATTTTGTTAATTGCAGTCACTTTGATCATAGCCTTCTTCCTTTCAAAATTTCTGTTCAAGGGTCATCAGGCCAAAAATCTCCCAGGAGGGTCTTTAGGGTACCCCTTACTAGGAGAGTCCTTGAGCTTTCGCCAAGCACAGAAGCAAAATCGAGGGCCTCAGTGGTTCGAAGAAAGAGTATCAAAACATGGGCCAGTTTTCAAAACCTCCTTGATGGGTTCCCCAACTGTTGTTGTTACTGGTCAAGCTGGTAACAAGTTTGTGCTTGGTGCTCGAGATGATGTTCTTGCTACCAAACAACCACCCACCCTTGCAACCATTGCCGGAAGGGAAAACATATTTGAACTTACTGGGTCGAGGTAATAGGCCCTCTTCAATTTGTTCGGAAATGTTCACTTGTCAAACAATTGGCGCGTTATATTACAGGATTATTAATTTAAATCGTTAATTAAGGTATACTTTTTTATTTGAATGTTTGGAATGTTCTTTTGTCAAACAATTGTCACTTTATATTACAAGGTTTTCAATCTAGACCGTTAATTAAGGTAGGATTTTGTTTGAATGTTTGGCCGCCAAGGTAATAAGCACTTTTCAAGTTGTAGGACAATGTTCTCGTCATAAAGTATGGCACGTTAATTAAGTTACAAGATTGTCAATCTAGACCAAATTAATTAAGTTTTGTTTCAATATGTAGTTGAGACAGTTTAAATTTACAGTGTAATAACATAATACATGTCTGGTATTGGAACACAACCCTTAAATTGTACATGACCATTTCTAAATTGTTGGTTCAATATAGTGAGACTGTATATTTATGTAATGCAGGTACAAATTGGTAAAGGGAGCAATGATGAGCTTCTTGAAGCCTGAAAATCTTCAAAACATTGTCAAACATATGGATGAATTGATCAAGACCATATTGCTAAGAGAAACAGAGAACAAAGACACCATAAAAGGTGTGGCCACCATGAAGAAACTCACATTTGAAATAGCATCCAGCATCCTTTTTGGCATCAAGAATGAGCACACAACAGAGGCTTTGTCTGATGATTTTTCTTTAGCCTTCAAAGCAATTCCCACTCTTCCTTTCAATATCCCTGGCACAGTGTACTGGAGAGGCCTAAGAGCCAGGTCAAGAATTGTTAATAGGATTCTGCCAATTCTCAAGGAAAGAAGGGAGGAGCTCTCAAAGGGGAAGCTAAGCCCTACAAGTGATGTATTCACTTGCTTGCTAACATTGAGAGATGAAAATCAACACCCAATTTCTGACGATATGATCATAGATAATTATTTCACCTTGATTATTGCTAGTCATGACACCTCAGCCATTCTTCTCAGCCTAATGATATGGAAGCTGTCCAGAGACTCTGAGATCTACAACAAAGTTCTGGAAGGTATAATAGTAATTTCATTTTTTTTTTTTCGTTTAGCAGCTTAATTATGCCAAATTATATATTTTCTTTACTTTCATTGGTTGTAGAACAAATGGACATTTTGAGAAAGAGGGAGGAGGGAATAGATGATGGGCTAACATGGGCTGAGATACACAAGATGAAATACACATGGAGAGTTGCACAAGAGCTGATGAGGATCATCCCTCCTGTGTTTGGCAGCTTTAGAACAGCAGTTAAAGACACTCAATATGAAGGCTATGACATTCCCAAAGGATGGCAGGTAACATTTTCTTGTATAATGTTTGTGACTATATATAATACCGTCACATTGTTATGTTATTAATCAACTTGTTATAATATAAATGAGCGATAATTTTGCATTTTGAATTCAGATTTCTCTCCTAAACGTTTAAATAAATTCACATGTGTTATAACACAAGCTGATTAATAACATCGTTAATTAACAGCCTTACGATCACACCGAAAGTTTTCTCATGAATATCTAATTAACACTTGATGAACTGGGTTTTGCTTATATGAGCATGAGCAGGTGTTTTGGATGGCACATGGAACTCACATGGACAAAGATATATTTGACAAGCCTACAGAGTTTGATCCATCACGTTTTGAGAACCCATCAAAACCAATCCCTCCCTACACTTATCTTCCATTTGGAGGAGGCCTTCACACTTGCATTGGGAATGAGTTTGCCAAGATAGAATTACTCATCACCATCCACAACTTGGTGACAAGGTTTGAATGGTCACAAGTTCACCCGGAGGAAGCAATAACCCGTAAACCAATGCCATATCCCTCCATGGGTCTTCCAATCAAGATCAAACCAAGAAAGCTTTAATTAGTACAAGGCTTGTTATGCCACATGCTTTAGTTGTTCATATTGTTCGTTTTGTGCTTGAATTTCTTGTCCTTCAAATGAAAATCATGGATGGAAACTTTTAATGCATTATAAATAAAGCTTCTCAGCGAGTATGCTATGATTTATTTTGTTGTGATGTTGTAATAAAATTTGCTATATATTGTTCGTATCAATTCGTAAATAAGGTTTTATAATACGTAAACGACGTATATAAATAAGCATGTAAAACTCGAATGTATATTATGAGTATGTTATGAAAATAATCAGTCTTCTACAGTCAAAAGATCTTTATAAGTCTTTTTATCTGCAAAGAATTTTTCATTTTGTATTGCCTAGATGCCATGAGAAAAAGATGTTTTGTAAGAGCATATGGCCTCACATTATTAGGCTTTGATTTCTCAAAGCTGGTTCTGTGGATTTTAACCTTAACATTGTATTGGGCTACAAGTTACAACCAAATCTGGCATTAGTTGGGTCTACAAATCCCAGCCTACTGGGTGTAGAGCTTTTCGGCAATACCATAATACCATCATCATCCATGAAATATATATCATTTCCATAAGTTGTTATACAAAACTAAGATCCACAATAAATTAATTAAGCAAAATCCAAGATAAAACATCGGAAAAATTGTTTGGGAAATAAGTTGAGTAACATAAGAAACCCAGAGAGAGAGAGAGAGAGAGAGAGAGTCTAAAAGGGGAGGTGGTGACGGTGAGTTGGTGAATAAGGAGAATAGGATGAAGTATTCATGACAAAAGAATTTGGGCTACTGCTAGTATTATGCGCTGTGTTTGGGGTCCGTGGAGTCACCGGGGTCATGGGACTTCGTGATCTCAGTGACATCATCGTGCTCCCATTGTTGCCGCCGCTCCTTCTTGGCCCTTTCTCAGCCCATTTCAGCTCAGCTTGCTTCACAATGAAGGGATACCTTGAAAAACATCCAACCTTTCCTGCTCTTTGTATGTACCTATGGGACAATAACATACACAAAATTAATATTATTTTTATAAAATAAACAATGAAATGAAAGCTTGGGGGCTCCAAAACCAAAACATCTTTGTTGTTTGTTGTGTTGTGGAGGTGGTTCTTGTATTTTGCCGCTACACCAACCAAAGGGACGGCAAAGCAAATGCTATTTTTTTTAATTTATGTTACAATATTTGGTCGGCCCCATTAGATAATTTACGTGTAGGGTGACCCTAATTGCCGGCCTTTATTTATTTATTTTATCATTTCCTTGTTCTGTATTTGTTTTTTGTTTTTGTTTTTGTTTTTGGGGGCTGGGTAGCTGGTTTGTGATTAGTATAGTTTATCAATAACCACTGCTACTAGTATGTAACAAGTAAATGTTAGAAGGATTGCAAATTTGTTTTCTTCTCATTATAATTGATCAACTAATGCGAAAGTTGATATGTTCAACATTCCTTGAACATAATAATTGTTATCGGTGTTCTTGAGTAACAGAGTAATATTCACCACACTGAATGATTAGATTAGCCGACAAATAATCCGTCTATTGACAACTAACCATAATTATTTACGTAATTAGCATAATCAGAAAATATAATCATTCAACATTTAGTCATATGATGGGTATATTATTGTTGACTTGAGTCAAAAAGTCTAACAATGGTATGATAGAATAAAATTAATCGGAGTTTGACTTGATCAGCATACCTTTGACTGAATCGCCTCCCCAAACATTCAACGCATTTTCTACCTTCTGTCATTTCTCCCATCCCGAACATCACACATTGTCTACAATACACTCTTCCACAGACCTGCACACAAAATTAATTACTATCATCTCTCATCCATCTTTTCCACGCATAACAATATTAAATGAAAAATATCAAAATGATCTATTTAGTATTCCCTACCAATTTACAATATTTGATGCATAAATATTGTTCGGATGGTATTTGGTATTTGATCACATATTAACAATGTATCAGATACCGTAGATTTGTTCAAATAATACGTACCAAACAACGGTGGCGGAAAATATAGATGTAGGTGCTGCAAAGAGTGCAGATATTCGAGTGGGGAATTCCAGGCCTCCTTCGTCCTCCTCTGTCTTTCTGCTGGTTATACACGCCGGAAGCCATGCTTATACCACTCACATCATGATCATAAGCCCCCAAGCTAGTCTCCAACCCATGCCTCAATCCGCCGCCGGCATGACATGTCGGGCCAGCTGGACTATTCATATGATGATTATTCATGGCATGGCCATCATTACCATGACCTTGATAATGGCTATGGCCATGACTCCCTCGCGATGCATGGCCATGGTGCGTGCCATGATCATGTCCGAGGTCATGATGGCTGTTCATCTGGTGATGATCAAGATGATGATTGACATGACCTCTATACGGACCTGCATGGTCAACATGGTGGTGGCTGAGGTTAATGCTGGATGCCTGCAGGGCTCTGTTGAAATCAAGGCTTGGGAGTTTGGTCAAAGGAGAGGGGGAGGAGGGTTGTGTGGTATATTTGAGCTCAGAAATGGATTCCGATAATATTGGGTTTGGTTTTTTCTTTTCGGATGATGCGATTCGGTTTAGTTTGAGCTCTGCAAAGTCTTGGAAAGTGAGGTTGACTGACTCATCTGGTATCCCTTGATACATGTCTTCAAGCTCCATTCTTGCCTTTGCCAATGTTGCCTTGTCCCCCATCGCTAGCTACGTACAACTTTTGAGAAAGATGTTGAAAGAGGGGCAGAAAATAGATGTGTTTTAAGAGGGAATTAATATTGAAATTAAGGAGGAAGAAAGAGGGTTTATTAATAGGTTGTATTGAGAACAAAAGACGGTAATAAAAAGACAAGTTAAAGGGCCGGTCGTAGACATTGAACATCATTCTTTTCTCCCATATTGAAACAAGGCAGGTCTTAAGGATTGTGATATTCATTAAACAAATGCATTTGTTTATGTACCCCTCAACTCTATCTGACAGATATGTAATTGAGCTAATTAATAAACCTTGAAAGATGGATGGGAAAAGCCAATTGGTTTTTTAAGTGCACGAGAAAATTTTCAATCGTGATATGATTACGTAGTATTATCAATTCATTCATGTTATAATACGTGTATTTATTGTATACATTCGTACTAAAATTCTTTTTGTAGTACATGAATTGAAATTTATAAAACAACCAAGTAGAGGAGACATGACTAGCTAATTGGGTACATTACAATATACAATCATACATTGACCCTTGTCGTGTGGTATATTCCTTAATTATAAACAGGAATTAAGTTTGATACTTAATGATCTGGCTTCTGTCCTAATTCATCTTTAAAATCTCAATTTAACAAGTGCAACCTATAAGTTTGCTAATATTGATGAAAAATTGGAAAAGAATGCCGTGTATATTTACGTGGATATGATCAACCCGGCCAAGGATAAAACAAACCTTCGGCCGGACAAATTCTTTTATATACTGCCAGACTGCGGGTAATAAAATTGTCTGCTGGTCTCAAAACATGGATCTAGACTCTTGACTCTTGCTTGGTGATTAGGACCCATAATTGGATGTTATCATAAACCCCGTCACATTAAGGTTTATGGATGAAACAAGGATGGCCGATTATTAACTGGATATCTTGGTTTTGTTAGGGTTCAAGGATGAAGCAGCATAAACAAGATGCCATATTTTATTTTTGGCTTATTTACTGTTTCACCTCCTGAAACGGACGCTCAATCTCACTTTACCTCCTTAAACTGAAATTTTCTCACTTAACCCGCTGAATCTCTAAAAATTGCTAAAATTTTCTCAATTTACCACTTCCGTCCATTTTCATCCATAAAACCGATAAGTGTGCTAACGTGACATGGGCATTATAGTATTTTTAGCTCCTTATCTTTTCTCTCTCTTCTCTCTCTCCCTCTGTTCTCTCTTATCTCCACTCCCAGACCCAACCTCCATTTCACCCCACTCCCCTCCTCCCTCTTCTCTCTTCTCTCTTCTCTCTGCCTCTCTCTTCTCTCCCCTCTCCTTGCCAGACCCAACCCCCACCCCAAACTAACCCTCCATGGATTACTCAATACACCCAAACCACCACCACTCAAAATTTAAATAATAATAAATAAATAAAACTCCTCAACAGCCACTCCCCATCTTCTTTCTTGGCAAAGATATTGAGAGTGAGAGTGAGAGAGAGACATATAGAAGAAAGAATAGGAGGGAGGGGGTGGGGTACGATGGAGGTTGGGTTCGAGATGGGAGAGAATAGAGGGGCAGAGGGACAAAGGGAGAGAGAAGAGAGAAGATAAGGAGCTAAAATTACTAGAATGCACATGCCACATCAGCATACTTAACGGTTTTGTGGATGGAAATGGACGGAAGTGGTAAAGTGACAAAATTTCATCAATTTTTAAAGATTCAGGTGGTTAAGTGAGAAATTTTCAGTTTAGGAGGGTAAAGTGAGACTGAACATCCGTTTCAAAGAGTGAAACAGTAAATAAACCTATATTTTATCATGTGGTATTTGGATTAAGTTGGATTTGAGATTCTTCAATCTTCCCGGATGCAAGTTGAGTTAATCAAAAATTTATTAGTGTTGCATACATGGGTTAAGCCAGCAACATTAACATGATATTGACAGGGCGCCTCCTAACGTCGGAGTTTGATTCCCCTCTTTTGTAAATTAGAGTAGTTTAAAATACTTTAGACTATTGTTTGTATTAAAAAGTTTTTAAATAAAAATTAGGCGTTCCAATTGCAAGACTAGGAAGGCGATCATGCACCGAGCAGACGGTAGTTTATAAACACCATGGATTCGTCTGTTTTGACTTAGAAGTAAAGGCATTCATTGACTCTATGGAACTGGTAGAGATGTATAACACTGCCCATTAAAAGTAAAAACAAAAAAAAGTTATACTTTGACAACCAAAAAAACAAAGAACCAGGGCAACAGCCGGATTGTTTCAGTCTGCAGCACCTCTACCCTCACAGTCCCACGCCGCAACAGCTGAAAGGCAGCCTTCATTTGACAGGCGTCTTTCACTCTCATCAGTAGCTTGTGTAAGTAAAGAGGAACCAATACCTGCCTGTGGCTCACACATCATGTTTGCGAGGCAACTTTCCTTCATGTAGT